TAACTTTGTCACTTCTTCCTCAATTGCTAGTTTTGGTATCCGAACAGGTTATTATAACAATCACTCTATTTCTGATTCCAACCACCCTAATCCACCTAGTCGGCTCTTCTCGTGTATCAAAACTTTATGTAGTTGATAATATCTCTGCGGTATCTACAAATATCTGATTTTAATCGCATATCATCAAAGAAATATCCATACCTCCTAAATATAAATGTAACAAAAATTAATAAAAGTAAAAAATAAAAATAAAAATAACGCATTCCAGAAAACTTAGACGTAAGAAATCTAGTTAATAAAAAATATATCATCGAAACTCTTACACATAAGTTATCTAATTATTAAAAAAAAATCAGAACTTGGTGAAGTTATCAGTTTAATATTGAAAATCAGATAACTAAACAAGAAGTTATCAGATATGATAACTATATAAACCGAAAAATATTGCTTTGAGTTTTTTTCTTTGAAAAATAAATATACCATATCTTTTCAAGTAAAATTATTCGATTTGTGCCATAGAAATTCTCAATTATTTTCGACTGACTTAAATAAATAGTAAAATATAAAAAGATTAAAATAAAATTAACAAGGATAATTTTAGAATATTTTCAAAATTAAAATTATTGGGATTGAGAGATAAGTATAGGATATAGGATAAAATTTTCACTCATGAATCATGATACATAAGTCTTTTATGATTTAAACTTAACAATTAGGAAGTATAATAAATTTTGTTAATATTATATCCAAAAAATGTTAATGTCGTTAAAGTAAAATATGAGTAATCCTAAATACAAGTTGGACAACACGTCTTGCCTTACTTCTATTTCTATTTATGTTCTGTAGTTAAAGTAAATTAATGGGAGGTTCAAATCCTTAAATATATATTCTTAATCTACCCATACTAAACTTTCAAGTGAATGTTTATTTACTCGAATTAGATAATGTTTGGTAGTATAATTAATTGTTTGATTGATCATTTTGGTAAGGTAATTTGTAGAAATGAAAATAAAAACCTATATTCAAATTCTTCATCACTTAATTTATAGCTAAATTTGAATTTGTTGCGCTCAACAAATTCTTCACAACTAAATTTAATCACAAGATTAAAGTAAATTTGGATGAGGTCAACAAATTTTATTATAGTATGAATATTTTTAAAATGGTGAATTATTTCTTTATCGAATACACACTTATATCATATTCACGTATCGTATTTGTGATATTTCATTTTTTATTATTATTTGATTTTGAATAAAATTTGTGGTTCACTCAAAATATTAGCAATATAATATATTTTGATTTTTTTGTAATTGTATTCTAACATTATTTATTATTTTTTAAAAACTTTTATTATGATGTTTTGTTATGAAACAATTTAGTTATTTACTCATATATTTTATAAAATATTCTTATTTTTTATTAAAGTATTTGTATTTTGATTTTTTATTTATTTTAAATATCACATTTCGTACCAGTCTTATACTTATACTAAATACTTACCCGTATTTATAGTCTTCAATCATACAATCACACATTTACGACATTTCAATTAGAATTAAATGATCTTGATTTTTTTTACACACTTAAATGGTCTTGATTTAAGCTCAACATTTTAAAAATGTTTGCAACAATTATTTTTTAATATTCGATCAAAAATCAAAAGGCTATTATGTTTGAATTAAAGTTAGGGGTTTAGATTAAAAACAAAAATACTAATTTTGAAATATGAATGTCCGATCTTGATCCAACGATCTAAAAATCCTTACTGCGTGAATCCATTCTCTCTGATTGCAGAGAATTGCAATCGGTTATTTTCCCTTTCCTTTCCAATTCCCAATTCCCATCATCATTCTTTTCCATTTGCCTGCACTTTACTTCTTGAAGAAGTAGTTGGTACCAATGCTATAACAAAAGTTCAAATCTAACAAGGTACATTATACAAATTCTTCTTCATTGATTATGATTTATTCTAGTTGCAATAGTGTATCAATTGTTATTGACTTTTTATTTTCTATTTTTTCAATTCAAACTATACCTAGGGTTCATCCAAATCCGTGAATAACTCGCACAAAATTTTGTTGATTTTAATATCGATTCCTAGGTAATTATTCAAAAATCAAATTCAGGTTTTGCCCTTACCATTTGCAAATTGCAATCAGAATTGTTGATGGTGGATGGCGGTCTATGGCGGAAGCCAAAATCCTGCCATACAGGCTGCTTTGGTGCGGCATTATAGTGGAAAAACCCGCGATATTAACTGATATTTACGATTGCGACGAGCACAAAAACCGCCATGTATATCCTCCATAGAGCTGCCATGACGAATATTTGATAACAGTGATTGCAAATACTAGGAACGGCAGCTGCAAAATGTTAAATGCAAATTGTTATCCTATAAATTGATGAATCAATCCTTTATTAGTTTAAATTATAATTACACCCACACAGATGATTTGGTGATTACTGTGGCTTCTGTTTTGAATGACAATCAAATCAGATTCCATGCAGTCAATTTTTTGAAACATTGGTGCATTCAAGACAGGCAAAGTCATTCGATCGAGATCGAATGGTCCAGATTTCAATCCAGATTATGTTAAAAATAAAAAATACTGAACTTAAAATCTTGGTTGTCGATAGCGCACTATAGCTGCGTAGCGGAGTGGAACCAGACCTCACCGCTATAGCAGGAATAGTGGCCACTATTTGTGGTGCCATGGCGGCACTTTTGCGGCACAATTGCGGTTCTGTAGCGGTTTGCAGACCGCTATTGTGAAGATAAAGGTAAATTTGTAAATTTGAAATTTTTTTAAGCTCAAATTGGTATTTTGACCCTTTTGTTTGATCTAATATAAAATTACAAGTGTTTGCTTTAGGTCATTTCATGTGTTTTTTGTTGTTTCCCTCTTCGCTCGCGGGTTTTCATTTCAGAAAGCCATCTTCACAAAACTTATTCGACATTCTTCTTCGCAAATAAGCAAGCCATCCACCGATATTTCAAAATCATCTCCGTTCTTCTATTTCTTCACCTTTCTCATTCATTCAAGTTTGATTTCTCCTCTGTTTTGCCCTGCCCCTGCGCCTTCTCCTCTTCTCCTCTGCTCTGTTTTATTTTTCTTTTAACAGTAACCATGACATCATCTTCTGCAAGTGTGGACACAAACTTTCAACAGTAAGAGTTTATTAGACATCACTTTAGACTTTACATTAGTGTCTAATGGAGATGAAGAGTTGGAGGTGGAAGAAGAAGAGTTTGAGTCAAGTGATGATCAAGGTGATACTAATGTGGTGGAACCTAGAAATGAATATGAGGCAAACGCGGATGTGATTTAGTCATTTTGTTTACGTTTAGAATTTGGTTTAGTCATTTTGAGTACATTTATAATTTGATTTTGATGGGAACTTTTGTTGATGGTGTTGTTGGAACTTATGTATGTTGTTGCAACTTTTGTTTTTAGAGCATTATGTATGTTGTTGGAATTTATTTTAAGTATTTATGTATTCATGTTAAGTATTTACCTTGGTTTTTAAGCTCACAATAGCGGTCATCCCGCTATCTGTTGTGCCATTATAACATTTTGGGAGCCTGACGCTACGCACTGCTATCCTAGATTAACATCCTAGCTTAAAATATGAATCGTCTGATATCGATGTTACAACTACGGTTATCCTAAATGCATGAATGCATCAAAAATTGACGTCAACAATCATAGTCCAACAAATGATAGCTGTTTATTACTTGTTGTTAGGTGTTATTATTTAACTGGAGGAATTGAATCCACATATCCAATTGTTATTTTGTTAATTATTATCTTTCTATGATTCCGGAATCCCTCCCTCCCGTCAGACAATCAAGTTACCTAATCACTTCTCGTAAAACATCATAAATTACGCTCTAGACATTATCATTGAGGTTGCATGCAGTTTTTCAGTAATTTTGATTTCGATTTCTCTATTTTGTTTTTACATAAATTGATTTTAGGTTACTCAATTTATTTAATAAAAATATCTAATGTTAGATTGAATAATTGTAGTTGTAATTATTATTATATGCTATTAATGATATCTAATAGAAATATAATTTTCAAGATTTCTTTGTTTTGGAAACTTGATAAATACATGTTTTTCCCAGTTAAAAGTTATCCAGCAAAGCAAAGAATTCAGCATGGGATGATTTTGATTTCTATGATAATTGAGACAAGTTTCTACGCATACATGTCAACAACAGGAAGGGTACAACAACGACAATTACTATGTAAGTTATATTTCCTTTGTCTATCTAAATATCTATGCATTTGTAACATGCAAGGAAATATAAAATTGTGTACTTGCACCAAATCACAGTGACAATTACTATGTAAATTGTAATTGTGTACTTGCAGTAAATCATACATACTCTGTTGCAATTGTGTAGATATGTAGGTAAACAAGAGAAATCTGAAAGATTATATTGATCTCTGCATATTGTGAATCCAAACTCAACAAAACCGAAGATGGTGGAGGATAATTGTTTTGATGAAACCAAGTCCTTGAGGTGCGACAGCTGTTAAAACACCTTAAGTCCAATACTGATGTCTTGAGCGTAATTTGAGTTGTTTGACAATGTCTAATAATTTAAACCAAGTTTGATTTAACATCAGAAAACCGATTTGTCACTTATTACCACAATGTGATATCATTATCTAAAATGACACTTGTTGAAGCTCATGTAAGATTTATTCATTCAATCATGTTTGGATGGTTATATTTTATGTTTATGTAATATCTAAATCTTTTACCTGATGTTCATTTTTGAGTTGTTTATTGACAGGGTCAAGTCAAGACAAACATGCAAGCAACAAAAGATGGAGTCTAATATAAAGTTTTCCTTTTCTTTAACATTCCTAACCAATCTAAGCATCTGCAAATGGTAAAAATATTCAAAACTCATCATCACATTCTTCAGAATTACAACAATGATCCTAAACTTCTAACAGAAATAGTAACTATGATCATCTCGATCAGTTGGAGGGAACATGGTAGTATTTTCCTTTACAGGTGCATCTGTAAACGATAGGACAAGACTCTGTCATGGAGCATTTGATAAAACCCACCATGACCCTCTTGCAAGGGGAACACGGTCCACATGCATGAGAACAATCTGGAATGGTAGAACCATTTGGGTAGAGTTCCATTGATGTGTTGTCTTCTCTTGTTTCTTCCTGCAAAATCACAAGTACGTAAACATCAATTTATCATTCAATTCCTTCTATACAATATTGAAACTAAATGTGTCAAACCTTTTTGTCTCTAATTGCTACTTTCTCTTCTTGCAAGCCCATTAACTTTGCTGGAAAACAAGAAAAAAAAATAGAATATGTCATATTCTCAAACAATAATAATACTTAAGGAATGTTGTTATACGAGTTTGTGTCACAACCAAAGTCAATAACATAGATGAGTGTATTGTATCTTTTTTTCTTGCTTTGCATGATACAAATGATGTAACTATGAGAAAAACAATATTATCATGTTTTAGTTTCAAAGTTCTGTAAACAACCGGTTGCTTACCATGATTTGGGATCGCCCTAAGGCTCCAACCGATAGAAAATAGCGTGAAGAAAATCACGACAAGGAAAGATTTGTGAGCTCCAAGCGAATATGTGCTCATATTTGAAGGAACTAGAGGCTGAAGTGTAGTTCAAAATCAGTTTTCATTAATAGAAAAAAATCAGAAAATGCAGACTATATGAAGAGTGGCCTTTGTAGGAATAATTATTATATATACACCAAGATTCAATGGGTTCCCTATTAAATGTGCAACAAGATCATGTCTGCAACATTTCACATGATACACGGCCTTCTATTAATTATACTTCACAAGTTTTGGTTTGTCTGAGATATAAATAAATATCAGTATGATCATAGACTAAAAATAAAGAGAATATTTAAATTTGAATAATAATTTCAACCTATCCGAGGAAAGGGAAGTATGAAGTGTGGGGGCAGAAAAAAATATGTTTGAATGATGGCATTAATTGAAACATGCTTCACAAGTGAAAACTCTTGTGTCATCAATTCAATAAGTGTAGGAATTTGGATTATCAATCGAAGGGGAGACAGGATCAAAGATACTAGTAATATATGTGTGAGGGACCGTATGTCCATATCTTGAGACTTTGCTGTAATTTTTCAAATCAATTGTGTCACTAATGCTTTGTTTTGTGTATATGTATAAAATGATATAAATATCTCTAAATATAAGACTTAAATATTATTTAGTCATTATGTTTTTAACTTTAGTCCCTTAAAAAATTAATTTATTTTTTATTGATGGGAATCACTTTCAGATGGTAGATGATAAGGGTGATGGTAAATGCGGATTTTGTGCTGTTTCAGTCTTGGTAGGTATGGGAGAGAAGAATCATTTACTTTTCGTCAACATCTTATAAACAAGTTCACGACTAATAAGGAATATTACACGAGGTTATAAAAAAGTAGAACAATATGATGTTATTCATGATGCTTTGATTCCTAGTAGAATTGGTTAAGCATCAAAAGAAAAATAAATGTTTTTTTTTTCTTCGTAAAATGGGTCATCTTGTAGCAAGTTTATATGACATAATTTTTGTCTAAGTGACCAGGAAAAACTCTCAATATTAGATGGTGGACCAGAAAAACTCTTAACACGGAACAAACTTGGCCTCAAAAGGATGGGGTCACGATTCCTTCTTCAAATCTTAAGATTGTATGATCTCACTAACTCCAATGATCTCGATCTTAATTAGAATCGCATGTTGTAGTCAAATTGTAAAAAGATTTATTATAAAATCATTGATTTTGTGCCATCTTTGTCAGTTTCGAGCATGTTTGGTTGTTTTTTTACCACCACCATTAAAAGTAAGAAGGATGATAAGATGCATGCAGATGCACAACACTTATTAAAGTGGAAATGAATACATGTCTTTTGAAATGATAAAGTTTTAGATTTAGGGTTTAGAAAATAAGCATCTCACTTGTAGGTTTGTTTTAACTAATTAACGTATGATAATTTTAGTAATTGATCAAACATGTCTCCAATGTCAAACAAATATTCCATATAGTAAAGAAATATAAAAACTCAATCATACATGTTAAAGAAAATGAAAAAGTCATTTTCTCACAAATATATTTGTGTGTGTATGTATACTGTTGCATCTAAAAAAATACGATCTCGCAAATGCATCCCATGCCTGTAGATGATTAACAGTGTTGTCACTGTTCATTATTTATTCTTAAGGAAAAGGGAATTGATGATAAAATCCTAAGAGAAAGAAAGGGATAAGATGGTCATCACAATTAAATTTAGGGTTTGAGAGTTGGTTATGCAAAGAAAAGGTATTAACACCCCTTACATTTGTTGTACTCAACAAGAACCTTCTCTAATTTTAAGGAACCTCTCTAATTTTAAGGTTGATTGTTTGTTTGCAGGTATTTGCTTTATTTCTATTCATATTTTATACACACTAAGTTATTTATTAAGGTATTCAAAATATAAAAAAATAGAGAATTATTTACAAAAATTTACTAAAAAATGTATTAATTATTGTGCTCGATGAGATTTTAAAACCTCATTCTTAGTTCGTTAAAAAATAAGTGTGTTGATTGATTTTAGTTATTAAAATGTTTCATCGCATCGGGCGGAACAAAGAAATTGATTTGATGGGTTGAGTTGATTTTAAGGTGTTTTGATTTGAATGATCGATCGATGTGGCATGCGCTAATCAATTAAGTATTCATGGACATGGAGATATTCATCCACATATCCATTTATTTTTAAAGATACCAGATTAATTTGATTTTCGAAAATGTCGTTTAATTACATACAAAAGTGTGGATGAATTTTTTTTAGTTGCATTTTTTAGAATTAAAATGAATGGAAAATTTGTGGTATTTCTAAATTAAATGAAAAGAAAATATTTGGTATCTCTCTATGCTTTTAATTTTATGTATTATCTAAACGACAAAATCAACTAGATTAAAAATTTAAATTACACTAACTATAACGTAAAATTAAAGATTAATTTAAAAAAAAAAGTTAAAATGACTAAATTAAAAACAATTAGATTAAAATCTAAAGATATGAAAAGGAATGTGTAACCGCCCCATATGTTCTCAATTCAAATGAAACTTCAATTAGAGGAAGTAAAAAAAAGCAACCTCTAGCTCACGAATGAGTAACCGCCCCATATGTTCTCACGTGGTCCAATGATTGGCCGCCATGTGGCAGTTAGAAAAAAGAAAATAAAAATATTAAATAACCAATAAACAATGGAATACAATGCATATAAGGGGGATTAGCTAAGTATTCTATTGTCTTTCACGTTACATCTTTTCTCTCTCCTTATGTTCCTCCATGCCTTTTTTTTTCACAACAAAACCATCAAATCTCTCTCTCTCTCTCTCTCTCTCTCTCTCTCTCTCTCTCTCTCTCTCTCTCTCTCTCCTCTCTCTCTCTCTCTCTCTCTCTCTCTCTCTCTCTCCTCTCTCTCTCTCTCTCTCTCTCTCTCTCGTCTCACCTCTCTCTCTCTCCTCTCTCTCTCTCTCTCTCTCTCTCTCTCTCTCTCTCTCTCTCTCTCTCTCTCTCTCTCTCTCTCTCTCTCTCTCTCTCTAAAAACAACAAACACCTTTCTAATGATCTTAGATACACACACGTCACAAACTACATGGTGGTGGAAAAGAAACTGGTAGACTGTTGGGCGTCTGGTGGTGTTCGAGTCCGGAGGTTAATGGAGGCGACGAAGGCCGGTGGTAAGGACAACCAGAAGCGATGTTACGTTGGTTTCTAGAGATGACATAAACAGGAGGATGTGTGTCGGCTTCACAGTGATGTGGAGGATGACTTCGAAAGGTCCCATGGCTGTAACGCCCATATATAAATACATATGTCTAGAAAATACATATTATACATGTTTGCAAGTTTGGTACTGAAATATAAATAAGTTCCTAGTAGCACATTGTATACATTACATGCCAAAACATAAAATCTAAAAATGATGACATAATATACACAAGATGCTCCAAAGACTAAGAACTAAATCATAACAAATGATCTCAAAATAGAGTCTTCAAAGTGGAAATAATGCCATCCCAAAATAGCCAAGACAAGTAAGGATGTCAAACGACATTATCCTTACCTTTCACAGAACCGGAACCACCTGAAAAACATTCAACAACACGGGGTGAGATAATAATCCAAGTGAGTTGCCTATCTTATGATTTTCTCGCCTTTACAAGGTTCTAACCAATCCTAACACAACTCAAAAGGGAAGGGACAAGACTTGAGTTCACAATTTAACAATATATGGAAACATGTTGTTTAAGTTCAAGAACTCAAACTATCACTAGGCGGAAACCTCACCAAGGCATCCCCTTTTTCTGTCATCTCCTACGTCTAAGAGATCGACACGAGTCATGGATCCTTGTAATGTACTTTGACATACAAAATGGATTCGCATCCAAGGGAAACATGGTCCACATGAATCGTCACTTCTCATGGGTTGTACCCCATCACAAGTCTCTTTACCCGTAGGCTCTATTCGTACAACGAGAATCAAACCTGTCAAAGTAATAATGCATACATTCCAGAGGAGCTCTCTATATAAGCCTCCACTCTCGGAACGACACAACTTAAAGGAAATGATTCCGACTACGTGATCTCATACACAAATGTGATTATATTCGACAATCACAAGGCCTTATACGCCTTATTCTCAATGTAACACCAAATCAACACATGTTCCATATAATGTGTTACCTCTCAACTAGACAACTACTAATGCAGACCCAGGCATCAAAGGCACAAGCATTATCATCTAAGTCATCTATGATTTCCTAGTTATATCACTAGGTCATTCCATTGAATTGTAATAAGGTTTTTCACACTATTTCTTAATCCTTTTTAATTACATGATCATCATTTTAAATAAATCCATCATCCACAGATCCACATGCATATTACTCATACTAATCATGTAAATAAGATATATTAACAATAAACTTACATGTGAAAAACCAAGCAAACATCAAAACAGAGTATGAAAAACACTGCCACATTCACAGTGCTAGGGCCAAAGGAGTTCCATTTGCCTTGAATTGCTGTGCGAACTCTGGGCGAGATAGAAAAATTTAGAAGCATTGCTAAAAGGGCTCAGCGGTTGCTGCGCGAGCCCTGAGCGAATATTCTCCTTCGCCTCGCCTTCAGCTCGTAGTGCAAGCATGACAGACTGTCATGTTTGTTTTCAGCTCGTTGTGTGAGCCCTTCGATTTCCAGAATTTTCAGCATAACAGAGACAGTTCCAAAGGGGTTTTCAAACCCCATTCACCCAACCTAATTCCAAGCATTGATATCAACATTTCATGTACAAATCAACATTAAGACAACAATTCAACATCAACATTATAACACAACAAGAAACATGATATTTCTATGGAATTGGGGAAATCTTACCAAATCCAATCTCACCGATTTCTATCTATAATACTATTACCCTAATGTATCTAACTATAATCCACCTCTAGATAATAATGAATAAGTTGTTGATGATGAAGATGAGATGATTAGATGATGAATGGTGAAGTTTCCTCTTTTTCTAGGGTTTCTTCTTCTTTCTCCTTACTTTCTCTTCTCTT